TTCTTCTTACTCCAATCTAAGCTCCTTCATCGACAATCTCGATCAAATTCAGTGATTCTCCTCCTCATCGGGGCTAAGCTTAAACCCCAGTAAATGTGTTTATATAGTTTTGCTCGCTCTTCATGTCCGACAGATCACACAGTGATAAATTACAATCCATGGTTTAGGGTGAACTCCATCAAATGTTTTGATGTAACCATAGATAGCAATCTTCACTGGTAAACTGTGGCGCCTATCATTTCAAATTTGAAAGCTCAGGCAGTTTCGCGCACCCCAGTCCTTTCTTTATCACTGTGATTCCCCCATCTTACTTTATTGTTCCCCAATTATTTTTCCTGGCTTACTGAAACCGGATTTCAAAGTCATACGCCGCTGCGTTTCTGCTATTCCTGTGAATGAGGCAACTGTAAAGTTTTCAGAGTAGCATATAATTATCTGCGTCAACTTTGGGGAGATGACTCTCACAGACCCTAACCACTCATTCCATCATTCCACACATTCCCCATTCCGTCAAATTTCATCTTGAATTAACGCTTACCGCGATTCACCCACACCGTATCTCGCACATTTACTCACAAACAAAGAGCGGTCAATAAGTGCACTTTGTCTTAAACGTAGATTATGAAATGTTCCCACGTCTGTAAAATTTTCTCCACGTTGTGACGGTTGGTGTGCATGATTTTTTAACTAAAATGTGAGCTCCAGGTTGCAGAAGTTATACACCATACAAAACTATAATTAAATACACCGTCGTTGTAATCTTGATTGACCGTGTGATAGAAAGTAATACTCTTAAGAGGAGCCAATGGCGTAAAATTACGCTTTCACTTTTGCTTACTAGAGTTCATGTCCCAGTAATAAGAGTAAGAACAACAAATCATACTCCAGTTTTGACATAGTCAGCCAGCATTCAGATTGTTGTTACACGTCCGAATCAATTTTTCACTGTGATGTGACAGACGGCGTGAGCTTTCTGATAAAAATAGGGGTCATAGACGAACATGCAAATCAGGCCTGCGTAACTGTATACAGAGAAAAATCATACATAATATGAAGCAAACAATTTCGCTGCCAATCCGAGAGGAAAGGTTCCATTCCAGATCAGGAACTCGCACCATCGTAAACATAACCAAGCTGAAACCTGTTTGTTTGTTGCTATTGAGATGTTATGGTAACGAAGTAGCAAAATTATGTGCGAACAACTCGGAATCTATCCAGACCTTAATCACATACTGGTACCGCTTACTGTCCAACTATCACAGCTGAGCGACTCTTTGGCTGCACCTTATAGGTTGGCAAGATTGATCAATACTTGGAAATGTCATGATGGCTGTAATCACCAAACAAGCAACATTTTCGGAGAGCACGGCGAAAATGCAACCTACACTGCAAGTTTATGGCACTCGAACATCTGGTTATTTGAAAGTCCACATCGAAATTACGCGAATGAGCACCGAGCAGCAGTGGCGGGGCACCTACCGATAGAGGCAATTATCAGAACACTACCGTGCTGGATGATTTGGTCAACATTTATGAGGTTCGTGAAACTTTGCTTCGAACACTTAACCGTCGACCTCGACTCATATGATGATCTGCCCAATATTAACATGATCTCGCTCATGCTTGTTTTGTGGATATGGTCTCAGCCATCATTTCTCTCTCGATCCCTAATGACTGAAACTGAATCTATAGATATCTCCATCAAGTTACCAAGTTGCAAACTTCGAAATCATGTTTATGCTAGTACATTAGGACCACTACCGCTTAGGATTTAATAGTTTATTTTGGAATGATGCATTTTACTATCTCTGCTCATTCTACGGAAAAGAAGTCAAGTGTCTCCCAGATTTCGATGTAGTACTTTCTATAGATCGAACAGATCAACTCCACGCATGAGTTCCGGAAAAAACTGGATCGACACTGAAGCATACCAAAACAACAGTAGTCACCCGTGGCAATTATTACGGTCTATAACACTGACATTATGGTAGAGACGGATTAGAATTTTACATCTGCATTTTGCCCGTTACCATCTTTTATTTTTGTTAAATATCGGCGAAATACAGTGACGAGAACTTCGCCGACCGCTACCAATCACCTGATGTTTCGGGTGAATGAAGAGTGGGTTGTCTTGCGAAATGAGAAAAGAAAGTGCACCTCTTTGACCAACACAGAATGCATTTTAGAACTTTGCCTACCCATTTTTCAAGGATTCCGATCTGATAAGAAATAAAAGCAGGAACCTACCGACGTCTGTTCCCTCGTTTCCTTTGGTATCTTTCCAACCAACCAGTTATTTAGTCTCTTGGATAAAGAATGAAGGACCGAAAGAACCCGCTTCGTACATTTCTTTGACCCGTCTAACCATCTGCTGTTCACCATCCGGTTTTCTTCAACCCGGAGTTGCTACAGTAAAAGGGATGCGGTGTGGTGCACGAGTTAGGATAAGCCTACTCATTCGCATCCGATGTGACCACAAGTTGCGCAATGAAACACCTGAATACAAAACAACTTGTCTCGATGGTACTTACCCGTGTGATCCACCCTACTCGCACCAAACCACCCATGCACCTAATGTCGAAAACATCTACTCGGTGGATTTCTTCTACATGCAAATTCAACATCTTGCAGTCGTTAAATAGAACCGATCGCAGTGGCACAATTTAGACCACCTTTCAATTCAACTTGATTATCAAATTGACGCAAAACGTGTTGTCTTAGCGAACTATCACTGAACCTGGTCTTATGATGCGTGTCCCAACGATTCCAGGAAAAAGCTATTTGAAAACAGTACGAGCCTTTATTGGTATCGTCAGCTAAAACGTACTCGTGGTCAAGCAAGGGAAAAACGTGTGGTATTTATGGAGTTATTATTATACATTATTACTTCAACACGAAACCAGTTACAGAGAACTGGCAAATGTGCCACAACATATGAACAGAAAGAAATCTGAAGAATGTGTTCATAGGTTGTGTGGGCATGTTACTTCCCGGTTGCCCTGGCCGAGGAAGGGGGATAGCCTCCGGGGTCCCCACCCGAATCCTTTGGCTAGAGAGCCAGACCTGCAAGACAACAACACGGAGCTCCGAGTCCGCAGTCCATTGGGAGCCCGTGGCCAGTTACCTGAATCCTACTCTTTCGGACGAGGTCAAACGTCCAAGGTGTCCAATCGAGTCGGTGACCACTGCCGCGACTAGAAAGGTGTGAATGCGGTTTATAAGCCTCATCTTGGTTGGTTTGGAATCAGGGTTTTTAGCCGACTCCCTTAGGTGAATTGCCAATGGTTCACCAACACGGTTATAGCCCCGGATATCTTCTCATTTTGGTGGGAAAACATCTCCGCCACGGGGAGGCAGTGAGTAGGGCTTCCTCAGCAGAAGCTATTTGAGACGTTTGGTTTTATAGGAGCATTTCGAGAGGTGTAAGGGAATGGTGACCAGTCTCAATTCCAGCACCCACCCCAACCACACTGAGGCTTTCGAAGGCATTTATGGGGTCGTTCACTGTCTATACCTTTTTCAATTTAAGATGTCCGAATATCGATTCAAGATGTCACTGCATCTATTCAAGATGTTCGAGTATCAATTTAAGACGTCACAATACCAACTTAAGATGTCATGTTGCCGTGTGAATGATACGATAGTACGATTGCTCCATCTTCTCACATTCTCTTGTACTTTTTGGATGACCTTATTTTCACGTACAGTTCATCCGTGTGGTGAAGACACGCCTGCTGTACAGTCGAAGTTCACTTGGCCTAGAAAAAACTGGCGGTTTTAGACAAGGTGTGGTTTCTCGTTTGGGTTAGCTGGACAAGCACTAGGTCCTTTGTTGCGGCTGAGCTATCCGACCGATCGATCATGTAATTTTCTGGCCGTCATAGGAGAAGGATGAGTTGTGAATCCGATGCTGCTTAAGTGTTGGTAGAGAATGACCACAGGAGAATCCGCTTTGGAACACTGCGCCATGTGGGAAATTGGGAATGGAAAAGGTTCAAGCGATGGTGACGCTAGGTCAACGTTTGACTCGTCCGAGGTACACGCACTATTTTTCTAAGAATTCGATAAACGGATAATCATTATAAAACCTGGAACTTATCTTAATTGCGGACTACAATATCCACTAATGTAAGTCAACGCAAAACTACTCTTTGAATTTTACTAACTGGCTTTTTTCGCGTTGAAGGATCTTGGTAACTACATCGGAGATAGAATTCCAGAGCAGAGAACAAATATTACGAAAAATGCATATTTATTTCACAAAGTCGTTCACTGTTTTCCATCCTGGCGCTTGTATAGCAAAATACGGCGGATAGTTTTCTTCCACCTTCAGAATAGTAACAGTTGAAATACTTAAGCACTGCGGGACGATACTCAGTGTATTTCATTATGTACAAAGTTGGTACACTACTTCAAGCCTCAAGTTAGGTACATACAACTATTGACAAAGAGAAAGTTACCTAACGAATAAAAAAAATGACTGAAGTAATCGCAAACCATTCCTTTTATATCACCACCCACATCACTTATTGTTAGAGAAGAGGGCAAACTTTGGTCTTTTAAAACCCCGTTACTTACACGCTCGAATGGGAAATTATTCGTACTGACAACAATAAATTGTCTAATTTTCAATTCACAGGATAACGAACACAAAAGTGATAATAAAATGGGGTTTATTATACAAATGAAGTAGACTGNCTACAACAAATACTGTGCTGCGTATAACTACACCCCCCAAAACAATGGGACAAATTCAAATATATTGCACAGTACAGGAACAGAATGAACAAAGCGGGTTTCTGAAAGTTGAAGCGCATATGAGAAATAGGAATGAAAATAACCTACAGAAGTACCGGGATGTGGCTGATTTACCAACCGCTTATATCTACAAAATGAGGGCAGCGGATGAACAATCTATATGAATCCAGAAGGAATAATCGAATGGATTCTGAAAGACAGCGTGCTGTGATGCAGACAAGAAAACGGGTAAAAGCTGTCGATCAAATACGTTCGATGCGATGCTTGGTCATTGGGATAGCCAGTCCCTCTTTCTCGCTCACTGTAACCTCGTGTGGAACTCTGTGAAAGTCATAGAGAATACGTAAACCCCGCAAGAAACCTCCGGTCGGGGGGGGATTCATTAAACCCAAACATGGATCGTAAAATCCTTGCATGTCAGCCCAGCGACCCGGGGGCAATCGAAGGTGACTATCCTGAACAAGAGCTTGAAGTGGTACCGTGACGTCCACGTTTAAAGGACCACCGGTATCGCTGAGGGATAAATCACCAAGATCTGTACATGGCACATAGCCGTAAACTGCGCGCACGATAACTAAACCTCCGATGGCTTCCTCCGCATCACGCGATCGGGCAGCAGCCTGGCGCATTAGAGCCTGTGTGGTCATCGCTTCCCGACGCTGTCGAGCTAGTTCACCTCGGAGTTGAGCTCGCCGGGACACTTGAGCACGTTGTAATTGCCGCTTCAAATACGGTTCGTAGACCAGTGAACGAACGGCAGAAAACAGCAATACCGGTACGAAGAACCCGTAGCCTAAAGCTACCTTGCTCGGTTGTTCAGAGAGACGAAGTGGGAGGGAATAGGTTTGATTACCTCGAAGTATGCTTAGCTTCACATTCACTCCACGTTGAAGGCTGAGTGACAACGAGCCGGAAACGCGAGAATGCAGAGAAATGGAGCACTGAGCACCGACAGTCACCTCGACTAGATCCAGCGTGTTCACATCAAAAGAGCCGAAGACCTGGCCCTCTTTGCGTGGACCACTCCACGCCATATCTTCCTCGTCCGCTTTGGCCCAATCCGGACTAGAATTATCACGAAATTCATCTTCACCTTTGGCAGCACCCGATCCGCGCGGTGGGTTTAACCAAGACCAAGAGACTACTCGTTCTAGACGTATTCCGATCCCCGCACGACCACTTGCACCAAGACTAGCGGAGAGGCGTGCAAGTAGCTTCTCGTCAGACGAAGACCAGACAACCTCACTGGACAAACCGGAATCCAATCCCCAACGCCATTCGAGACGTGCGTTTGCTTGAGGCGTAAGTTGAACATTGACTCCAGTTGAGAGACCTGGAGCGAGCACTAAATGCAATCCTCGGGATTTATTGAGTAGTGAACTGAGGTTCAAACCGAGAAAGCCGACGTATCGATTCCAAAATGAACGTCGAAATCGAACTCCTACGCCCAAACCACGACCACCACGACCGTAGGATACCTGTACAAATACATCGGCGGGGGGTTGGTTGGAGGTGCTATGGTTTATCAGGCACAAAATGGACATCAATTCGTTCAAAAAAACCAAATAGAAAATGGCATCATAGCTCAACCTTAGTCTGGTAGTAAAGGAAAGATAAAGATGAGAAAGTGGTAATGGCAAGTATCCCGAAAAAATATCCGGATGAATTTTATTAAACACGGCCATCTCCAGCAAATGAGCTGCGACCAACTGATCTATGGAACACGAAGAAGCGGAGTTTGAATCACGGGTTTAGGATGCGAACAGTCAACCTTGGAGTGAATGCCATAATGAACGAAACCACGTACTCAGCACCGTTACCACTATGCATGCTCATTTTAATCCAGATCACAGCGTTCATTTTCTTCAAAAACCCATAAAATGAATTATAGCAACCTAGTCCTAGTATCGTGCTAAGGTAGACGAGAGTGCACATGAGGTTACATGGGTGAGCATATATGATCGTATTTCTTTATATACATTTATATATATATATATATATATATATATATATATATATATTGTTCTAGT